TTTTTCCTATGCATTTTAACTTTAATTTCATATGGTTCTCAACATGGGTATACTTTCAATTAAATGCACCCCATTGGTATTTTGTGCTGCTTGGCTGTCAGACACATTACATTCTGAAGGTAACTTTCAAAGCATGACTTAAATAAAATATGTCCTGCTGATACCCACATTTGGATCATCCAGAGCCTTTTCCTACTTCCCTTGTAGTTCCATTTTTATCTTCTCCAGAGAAATTTCCTGTGGACCTTACTTAATAACCAGGAAAGTCCTCCAGATTCTGGATTTTGATATTTCAAGGTCTCACCTCTATGAGGACTTCAGTTTGCTCTTTACTCAAGACAACTTCTCTCCTTAAGCAAGAAGGGATTCACAGATAACTTATCTTTATGTATTGCTAAGGTGAAACTACACCTGTACAGCAAAGCTCACAAACCTTACCAGAACACCTACAGATCACTGCTGCTGCTTGTACTTACTACTAGATCAGGATTAGCACATATTTATGTCAATCTTTAAAATGAGGAAAAAACCATCAGAAAACTCACTCAAAATCCAAACACTTATCAAAGACATTCCTGTAACAAAAAATACTTTCAACTCAAGGCTGAAGCCTTTAAAACAACAATGAAATAACATTAATCTCAGTGCCTTCTCAATCACTAGAAAAACTACCTTTTGTTCCTTCTAAGCTAAAGTAACCTAACTACTGTATCCCTTCCCTCTATATATTTTATATTCAAGACAACTTATGATCAGTTCATCAACAAAGTCCAAGTCAATTTCAAACAAAAATATTTACATTTTGAATATGACATTCAATCACAAAATACTTAGAGCCATATATTGTTTGCTGGTATATCTTCATGAAAAAGGCTATAAGGAGAATACAGAAATGTTCCAACAGTGATACAAGAAAAAAACCTACAGAAAATTTGAATCACTGATCTTAAATTGTTATGTCTCATCTTAAAATGGGACTTGATAAATATTCAGGCTAGTAATCTACCATAACAGCACCTATTTTTCTGTAGTTTACACAAAAGCACCGCTACTTTTACTGAAATTACCACAGCTGTCAACCACTTTAATAATTACAAGAAGCTGGACCCTAAGATACCACTAATACATAAACTCAAGTAAGTTCATGAACTTATCCTTAGTTCCCTTCAATAGGTTCCAATGGGATGGTTTCAATTTCAAGAAAAAAACAGACTACATTTTTTTCCATTAGCTTTTTTCCTAAGTAATTCTTAAAGTGGGCATAAACAATGAACCAGACCACACCATTTACTCAAGAGAAAAACAAGGGGAATCTCTTAATTTTGCAGTTGGAGCAAGCAGGCAAAGAAATTACTATCAGTGTCTTATGCAACAATTCAGGGACAAAGACTATGCAATGCCAGACCACCCGTCAGCACGACAGGAAAGGCATAGTGCTTTCATTCTACTTGATCACCAATGGGGCAAATGGACACACACTGCTAGAAATAAATGAGCATAGTGAAACTTGCTTATATTGATAGCAACTAAATGCTTCAAAATCTATTAATTATATTGCCTAGTTTATCACTACAGTTAAACTAAGGTTGTAAGGAGAATATGTTTCTTATTTTTATAACACAGTGATTGCCTATGTGAAATATTTTAAATGTGTTACATATTCATACATATTTATTCCACAATACAAAAGATTATAAACAATGTTCCCCAAGGTTTGGGTTTGTATTTGCCTGTATATTTTATGGTCATTTTACACAGCAAAGAACGGGTTGAGTTTTTCAGGTATTTTTGAACATATGAAAAATATGCGTCAAAATCCAAGAAAACTGGCCAAGGGAAAAAAAACAACAAAAAACAAAAGCATATGTAATAAACAGAGCTATTTCAGCTCCGGAAAACTGACCCAATTCCAAATTATAAATTTCCCTTAATCCTATTTTCCATGTTTTTCTCAGACACATTTTTGCCCTTTCATTCAATCAATTCAAATATATACTAAACAAGCTTTCATGAATATGTACATTGGGACTTTGCACAGGAACTTCCTCACTTCTAGCGCTCTACAGACTCAAAGATATCTTTCAGCAGTAAAACACCAACTTGATCCATTATCTCTCCTCTTGCACAGTTACTTGTTGACAGCATAGCAGACTACTCCAACTGAAAGTTAAGGCACAAACATTTGGATGAAATGTCATAAGCTGACCACAGAGCTGATGTGAATGAGGAAAAAAAAAAACAAAAAAACAAAAAACAAGACCACCCAAAAATATACAACCAATACCCCTCACTATTTATTTTCAGAAGGGTATATTTAAGTCACATCAGTTACAAAACACAGTTGATAACACAAACAGATGGGAATGATCAGCACTGGGAGGAAATCCCTTAAGCTGCCAAAAACTTCAGCTTTGTGAAACTATTCTCAGCATTCATGGAAAGTATTCAAGGCTCTCTAACTCTTAATCCCAGTTCATATTTCAACATGCACTCAATGCAGTGCAGCAACACCAGGTAAGAGAACAGACACACAAGTGTGAAAGTTTATGAAGACCTTGCAGTATGTTTGAGAAATAGAATTTCACCTTTGATTAAAATACCCTGAGGCATAATATTCTCTGACATTACTTATGCTAAGATTTTATAATTATAAACCTAACACTGGAAAAATTATATTTCTGTTGATTTTGAGTGATTTTGCTATACAGCATAAGTTTTCTTTAAAATAACTGCATAGGGAAAAGGGAGAGGAAAAAACCAACACACAATGCTGCATTAGAACATCAGTGTTCCACACTACTGCTAGTTGTTGTGAACCTGTAATTAGAGCAGTTTGCTTCTAGAGAATAAAAAGCTCTACCAATCAAGCATCTGCTCTAGATTGTCTAAAGATAATGAGTTTTGCAATGACTGATACAGCATTTTTCTATCAGATAAGGTCACATTGCCTAAACAGAGATACTAACTTTACTACTCCTCGTTAAATAAGAAATCAGAGGTTCCGGGGAAGAAATATCACAGTTTTTGAACAACTTCTTTGCCCCATTTGGGTCACTCAAAAGTGTTTTAGCCACTATCCTTCTATTGACTGGTCATCTGGCATAGGTGACAAGAGTGCATTATCCCCAGTATCCTACAAAGGCCACAACACAGATCTCTATCACACAGAAATCTTCCTACAGATCACAGAAGCAAAATACTACCATTAAAACATTTTTGCAGATATAATACTTTTCCTGAGGAAGCATAATTTGCTGTCTGAGGATTACAAGTTGTTTTCACCACACAGAATTAAAAAAGATCCTAAAAAAAAAAAAAAAAAAAAAAAAAAAAAATCCAAAAAAAAAAAAAAAAAACTGAAGAGAAACTACATGTGGCAAAAAGTGTTTGCAAAGATAATGGTAAATAATTAGCAAATGAATAATTTTAAGGTAGAATATATTACAAGTGAAACTTGTTTGCAATGATGCCTAACCTGTCAAAACAAGTAGCTGATAGAAAAAGCTGTTTCAAGCCCTGTTCACTAGTGATTAGTAAAGAATTTTAAGCATGTGTAATACAAAGTAATTAAATAATTTCCACGATTAGTAGCTTCTAATATATTTTGATCATCTCACTTTCCCCTTTCTCCAGAAAAATTAACCTTTGCAAGACAATAATGCACTGCTCAAGCTTCAGTTTGTCTGTATCCTTGATTTTAGCTTTCCAGTATTATGTAAGTTGCTGGAAGAAGTAAATAACTGAACAACTTGGGATTTTCAATTGTATAGCACTAAATAGAGATGATACTGAATTGCACACACAGAGAAAGAGCTTTTTCTAACACTTGCTGCATTCCCCAGATACATTCAATGATAAGCTTCTGTAACATGAATCAAGTATACTGACTTCTCATTTTTGCCATGACATCAATAAACAAGCCATTCCTCTCATTCCTGCCACAAACTTTACCAAATATCACAGAGAATAAAGATCTTACTGAACATAAAAGCATCTTTGACTTCAAGACAAAAAGGAAAAATAAGAGAGTCAATTCAAAATATTTGATCATAGCCACTTAAAGCAGACAAATACTAATTTTTACTTCTTTGATGAATTTATAAAGGTTTCCACAAGATGGTGCTGTAGCCCTATTTTAAGATGTTAATTGCGCTAACATTTAGAAAGAAACCTAATTTAATTTCATTATTAGAATAATGAACAGTGATTTTCAAGGCCTATTTTCAAATGAGAAGCAAAATACATTCCTACAATTCAATCTTTATAGGTTCTTTTATTTTTAAACAACTGAAAAAGTAAATCAAATCACAGAAGTCTAAAAACCCAGAACTAGTTTATATAACATAACTCGCTGTAAGCTCTTCTGTTTTTTGTGTAAAATAAAGTCCATTTATATTACATATGGTTATAGAAAAAAATCATAATTGTTGTTAAAACATAGAAATTACTTTTTACAGCATGTCAAACATGAAGGCATTTGCCTTCACCTGTAAACTCTGCCCCCCCAAAAAATTCCAACTGGTCTGTAATATTAAACTACAAAAATCTTTTAAAGTGAAGTATTAAAACACAAAGGAACCTTGATATGATAGGCTACCAATTTACAAAAAGCAATAAGCAATTAAATAGATCTAATCAAGCCTCACACATCTTTGGTTTGATCATATGTTTATGGAAGTCTTACATCTACTTATGTGTCTAAACAGAACTCTTAATATGGCTTCAAATAATGAAAATGTTGTGTTTCTTTGTATACTGACTGGTCTCCATCTGTGCTGCTGGTCTTAAAATGTGTTGGGTAAGAGCACTAAAACACTCAACACATCTCTTGCAGTCAAAGTCTGTGGACTTACTCGCACATTTTTGTGTTTAGGATCAAACTGACCCTCACTTTGTAAGTGTTAATGGAAGCCATAAAGTGTTGGTGCTCTCCAGCTCAGCATGAAAACTTATATTTAAAAATAAAAATTAAAAAAAACCCAAACAAACAGCAAAAAAGGTACATATTTGAAACTGGATGTAAGTTTTTTATTAAGACTTATTCAACAGTACAGATGGTAAGATGGTATGTAAGAATGCCTCTTGGGTGTAATATGCAAGTTCCAGCTGGAATGTTTCCAACAGGATGTAAACCGCAGTCCTCAAGCCCACACTTTAAAAAACATATTACTTAGCACACTGCTAACAAATGTCAACACAAGAATACACTGCTGTAATGATTTCAATTTACAAAAGTGCAAGGAGAGGGGAAGAAGCTATTTGAACAGTCTTTAAAACCAAAAATTGTGGTTGTGGGGAGGGAAATCAATACACAGATGCATGAGTAAAATATTCAAAGCAAAAAAAGCACTGGTGATCATTACAAATTCGATATATTAAAAATTTAACACTGTACAAACAGACAGATTATTTCTGGTATCCGTAAGTCTGCAGAGAACAGGTCTGAAGACTTGTGCTTGCAGGTATTCCCAGAGGTGGACTTGGTGATTTGAACAAGTTGAAGGTTTCTTCAATTCTGAAAATAAATTTTGTTTACATACACTTAATAAAATAAGGTACAAAATAACTGACTTGCTTTTGACTTCCTAATTATCCAAAATACTAATGAGCAGCATGATCCCATATATTTTCTCTCATCCCACCCTTTTCCTCTGCAATTGGTTTCTATTTTAAATGCCTACCATATATCAATAAACCTCAAGTACACAAAAAAAGAAGTAACCCACACAATAAAATTAAAATCACAGAAAAGGCTAGAGCTTTTTATAGGCCACACACTTAGAGAAATCTCTTGTTAGAGAAACATTGTAAAGCAGCACATTTCTCTTCAAGCATAATAAAAATAAAAAAACTTATTATAGATATCAGAATTAATATCAAATACATCTTAATACAGTTATTATAATGCTTAAACTGAAATTAGTTTTACTTTTCCTTAAATAATAAAAAACAGTGAAGATAACAGGTATTTTTTAGGAAGAAAAAATGCAAGTACCAGGGAATTTCTATCAGGAAATAAATAATATTCCTATATCTTATCAACCAAATTCTAAACACTCTTTAATCTCTAGTTAATATTATTAAGAGTGCTTTCTATTGCTTTTTAGAAACCAAAACAGTGACTCATCCCACAAATACAAAACTGTAAGTGGATTTATTATCCAGTAGAGCCATAAGGAAATGCCACACCTGATGCACAGACTTTGAGGTTTGGAACACATATGTACATTCTCTGTGTGCCTTAGTCCAGTACAACTCCCTCCTGGGAAATAAATTCCTGCTGCCCTTTCCTATTACTTACATTTTACTTATCTTTTCCATTCTTTGTGTTATTGTCTCCTACAATTTAAAAGCAACATAGTTAGTGAACTCTTCAAAGCTTACATTCTTCAGATGGATTTTTAATTTAAATTCAGAGAAAATTTGACTTTAAGCACTGTTTACATATGAAAAGTATTTTTATGAGACAGACCTAGATGTAGTTTTGCATAGTTTTCTTGTTTTTCTATCAGTACATACAACTAAAACCAATGCTTACTTGTTCTCTTGACCTCAAAGGAAATCAACTGAGCATTCACCAGCTTTACTTACCTTTGAAATGTCTGTCAGATCATGAGAATTAATGGTCATGTCTCTGGGAGATTGGTCTGTGGATAACAGTGAACTGCATCCAGACGACTGAAGATGACTCTCTGGCATCTCCTCATTCCTCTCTGTATCTATAGAGAAATGCTCAGTTTTATGTCACCTTTGCCTTTTTGCTCTCTTTTGCAAGGTCAGCTATCAAATAACTTGATTTACAGTAGGCAATAACAGAAGAGAATGCATTGTTTAGAGAGGGAAAAGAAAAAGCTACGATAAGAGTCCAGAATAGGCTTGTCATTTTTTTTAAAACAAGTGCAATATGACACTATGTATTCTATATATAATATAGAAAAAACAAATTCCAAAGATTACTAATAAAATTATTTTTTCCTGATTACAGTAAAACCAAAACTTATGAACGTTTGATTACAGTGCCAAGCATTTAATAGTAATTTCATATAGTTTACATTATTTTTATTGTAAACTCCCTGTTCAAACATGTCTTTCATTTGTGCTAAGTAAGCTGTCTTATAAGTAGCAATTTTTTTTTTTTTTTTTTTTTTTTTTTTTTTTTAAATTTTTTTTTTTTTTTTTTTTTTTTTTTTTTTTTCATTTGAAAGGCTGTGATATTCCTTGCAATTTTAGATTACTATTGTCAGGGAAGAGAACTTAGTATCTTGAAAAAAACACGTTTCCATACCCACTTTTTAGTAATGTCACCATGTAGACATCATACCCTTGAAACATACTTAGCTACATTATTTTGTATCTATAATTAATATTAAACTGTTTTTAAATACCTAAAATTAAAAATAGTTTAATTGGTACAGCTGTGATTTCTAACAAAAAAGAGCCTGAAAGGATTCTTATACTCTCATATAAGAGTTAATACTGTCTTCATAACTTTCATGCCTAAAATTTCCTGAATTTTAAAAAAGCAGGATTAACAAATTCAGAATAATTTGGGAAGTCTGAAAATATGAAATTTCTCTTTCAAAATCCATCAGCCTGTTTACTTACTAAAAAGTCCTCAAGTGTCAGTAACACACCACTAAACTTATCACAGGAAGTAAACATGTTGCATGCTTTCTGCGAAGGTCCCATTTCTGCAACTCCACAATAAAAACAAGCTTTGAAATAACCAAGAACTGCCTTCCTAATTTCCATGGAAACTGGATTACTGAGACTCCCTTTTAATTACAATTCAAAAGCCCAACACTGGACAAAAAAGCCTAATATGTGAAAATGGAAAATAGAACATCCTCCTAAGCACTGGTGGTAAGAATAACAGCTGCCACAAGGGAAACAGGCCAAATCAAGGAAGAGAACAGAGGGAGCTAATAGAGCTAAGGGCTAAAGAGCTACCATTGAAGAAGACAGAAGATTTATTCATGGCCTGAGTAGTGCTTTTAACTTCTTTGACATTCAAGTCTGCTTCATTTACTTCTTGTATGTTATCAAAATTAAACAGAAGTTGGAAATAGAAGAAAAAGATTTTGACTTTCTCTTCAAAACAAGAAAGTTTATCAAAAATGTCAGTTGGATAGCTGCTAAATGCTTCAGAGATGAAATATAGAAAACATTTAGTAGTTGAAAACCAACAAAGATTACAAATCATGATTTGTCTGAGTCCCATTAAAAAAAGAAGAAAACAGCAATCTAAAAGATATTAGTAGCAGCAAAAATAACTCCATTTGGGCTTGAGAACAGCGCATTTTTAAAACATGATGATAACTGCTTTAAAGTCCAAATGACAGTACTATTTTTCACAGCTTTAATAACAGAACCTTAATTAAATTTGCATCTTTGATATTTTTAGTAGCTATTTTTAACTAGCACTTACTATGCTATAGCAATGAAATCAAAAAAAAAAGAAAGAAAAAACAAAAAATGAGGAGGTTAATTTCTAATCTATAATATGGTTTTAAATTCAGAGGTCACTAAATTGCAGTTACATACTTAAAAGTAGTTTTATTATAGTCAAGGTCAGCAAGAAGTGCTTAGCAGATTTACGTTAATTAAAAGGAAAATCATTAATACTCACCAAGAGAAACTGGAATGCTACTAGAAGTTCTTTTTTGATTTATATTGCTGAACTCTTTAGGTAAGTCTCTCTGAAATACAAATTTACTTCATTTTAGCCACATACCCTGTTTAAATCCGACTGAACAAAACTATATTTAGGTACTAAGTATGTATGTATTTGCTCGCTACACCATCCAGATATGTTGGCACTGCACAAACATCTTCACAGGACTAAAAAAGTTCAAGATTTCCATAAATGCACTTCATCAAAAAACTAGTCTATTTAATGGGTCTTTTTTTCTTAATATCAATATTGCTGTTCATTAAGAGGTCGAAACCAGTCCAAAATACAGTGCATATAACATATTTATAAGTAGAATGGACAATCAGAATGCTCTTAGCTGTACTAATCATTTCATCTCAACACTGGTTGCCATTAGCTTAAAGTAAGTGTGCCTTCTTCTACTGCTGGTTGATATTCAAAAATACAGTTCTCAGTCCTAAAAAAAATAGCCTATAGATTAACTGAAATTCGTTCCACCTAAATGCTTAGAACCCAGAAGGCTATTTTAAGCTGGTTTCCCAGGCTCCTAATGAAAGAGAGCTCTCTCAAGAAACATTCTCAGTTTAACTTCATCTAAACTTTAAAAAGGTTGTTTATAAGCAAGGAAACAATAGTATTTTTGAGTTTAACTTTCTCATTTCAAAGTAAAAAAATACAACACTCAAACAACATTTAGTCTTTTTTTTTACCAACGAGTTATCATTATGTTTTGACATCTCAGCCTTTAAAATATGTTACTTTATATACTGGAGTAACTACATCAGCTAACAGAGGAATACTAAACCCAAATAAATGAATGAAGGACAAATAGTAGGTATTGTATGGGAAAATGCTGGAAAAAAACTGTAATAATGTTCATCTCTTAAAAAAATACAAAAATAGAATCTGCACAGAGTACATCTGTTCAATTCCTTCCATTGAAATGGATTTGGTAGCTTTCAGACTTTCCCAGAGCTTAAATGCACAGCTGCTGCTATTTTGGCAACAACAAAATACAGATCTTCAAGTGTTCCTGCTATGTTGGCTAGATGCCAAAAATTCCCTGTAAAGTACAAGAGTAAGAGAGGAGTAATTCTGAATTGTTTCTGTATGTGTGAAGCACGACTTGGATGCAATTTCATTAAACAAAAAAAACAGTAATTCCGTGGCCCAAAGGATTATTTCTTAGCAGTTTTCAAATGCCTATTGCCAAACAGCTACCTTTGAAGACTGTGTATACATAAACATATATAGTCTTATATACCTGTATATACAATGCCATACATAAACTATAATTGAACAAGTTACTGCAGGTGACTCAGTAACATGCAGTACAGAAATATAATTACCTCTGGAAATTTCTGAGGGATATTTTTTAGAGTATTTTCCAAATACTATTTCAACCATATGAACTGCAATAAACATGTTACTGAAGCAGTAATAAACCAAATTTACAAAAACAAAAGAACAAGTCTAGTCTGAAACATGAGCTTTCCCATGTGCTACAGTAATTTCTTGAAAAGAATACATTTGAAACAGGAGAAAAACTGTCTATGGCTGTTCTCCTGAAGGCCTCTTGAGACTGCTGCCAGAAAATAAAACCATAACCATTGGTGGTGTTATTTGGACACGTCTACTAATCCATAAGAATCTGATTTCAGATGGTAAAATCACATGAGCTACTACTGACCTAAAACTTTTTTTTTTTAGGTGAGTGAGAGTATCCATCCTTACTAATTGAGCTACAGCTTTTAGAAATAACCTAGTGATCAGTCTGAATACCTGTCCATTTCAAGACTTTGCATAACTACCACACTTGCAAGGCATACAGTAAAACACATCGTGTATACAAGTATTAGCAGCATTTTCAAATTTGTGGGGTCAACATGCACAGAGCTCTTGGGTATGAATAAATTCAACAGTTTTACAAATGCAAAGAAAAATGCAACACCAATCAAATATTTTCCACAAGGATTTTCAACTTCTGAAAAGCATCTAACAGCATCTGAAGGATACACGAGATGCATAGAGATTAAAAATTTTGGATCACATGATTAATTTCAAAGTGATGCTATGGCTCACTGCAAGTCAAAATATTTACATGTGTACATATATCACATTACATAATGTGCACACAAGGACCTTTCAACAGCATGAAAAATAACCCAGTCTTAATGCAACAAGAGGCTTTATTTGCTGTGCCAAAGGTAGCCACATCACAACTGTAGTGCCTTTACACGTTCAAAAATGCAATGAACATCACTGATAAGAAATAGGAGAGTGAGAATAGGAGAAAAAACCCCACTGATTAGATTAGAAATTTCAAGGACCCATAAATTACATATAGGACTAAAATAAGAAATAACTTTTTTGATTAACCCTGTATTTTCCACTGTGTATGACATCCATTTTTGTCATTATCTGTTGTAGAGAATGAAGACTCCATGTTAAAAAACTTTCTTCTAAAACTTTAGTAGTAAATAAAATGACACTGAATCATTACTAATGAGAACAGATGGAAAGCTTTGGTTCATAGAGTCACAGAGAATATAATTAACAGTTAAGAAAAAAATACCATCAACTTTATAAACAGCACTTGCATTCAGATTGAATCTTTAAAACCAGTGGAAAAAAAAATCAGGAGGCAGGAAGGGCAGAAACAGACAAATAAGATTGTGTTTAGCCAATTTTTGTTATAGAATTAAAAGACAAGTTAACACACCTTTCTGGATTGTAACAACAGTTCTGTTTCAAGAAGCAAAACTCGATTCAATAAGTTATTCCAGTCCTTCTCGTCTATGATCACCTTTCCTTGCAGTTTCTCTTCTAAAACTTGTAGCTTATCTTCCATCCAATCTAGCTTATTAAGCTTTTCCTGGAAATCAGCAAGCTGATTCTCTAAAAACTCAATTTTTGAATTTTCTTCTATGACCTGAAAATGTGGATAAGAACATGTCCGCTAATTTCAAAACAGAAACAATTTATCATTTGATCAAACTAATAAAGTGCAATCTTCAAGTTCAGTAACCACATCCTGCTACATTAGAAAATTATTTTTCTTCCATAACTATCAAAATATGCCTACTCAGGGAACACAGCTGTTAAAACAAGTTGTTGACAGAACTGTGTCTTGAAAAAGACAGTACAATTTAACTGACTTTTCCTTTTCCCAACTTTTTCAAAGTATTTATTAAATATCAACTGCATGCTCCTGAACTGTAACTATAAAGTAAAAACCCTCATCCCTTTAGAAAAATCCTGCAAAAAAAAATACAGCAGCTTAAAAGAGAAGTTCTTACTTGTTCACATTTAACTTCCACAATACCATGATCTGGGCACAATTCTTCCTCAGCCCCTCCCTGTGCTGGCAGGGGCAGTAGATGAAGATCACCATTAACTTCATTTCCTGAGTGCCGTTCAACTAGAGGCTTCTTTTGAGTATGTTAAAAAACAAACAAACAAACAAACCCAACAAACTGCTGGTGTTATTTGTTACAAGAGTATTTCAATTCATTAGCCAAGTAATAACACATAAGACCTATTATTTCAATATTTATTTAAATCTAACTATCTTATCCCAACTGTTTACAAAATATAGAAAGCAACAGCAGGCAGTTTAATTTTTAAAAAATCACACAGACTTGAAGGAACTGTAAAACAAATATGGACACACTTTACCATATATACGATGTACTTTGTTTCCTTTCCATAAACAGTAAAAAAGACATGAATGTCCTCCCTTAATTTAAAGGTTGTTAGATTTCTAAGTGTGGACTGGAAAATGCATTATTACACACAGTGAAATTCATATGCATAGACAGTTTCAACAGCAAAACCATGACTAAAACATTAAGAACAAAACAAGTTTAACTAGGAAGATTAGAATTCTTCCTTTTTTCTTGACAACTGTCAGCAAAATAGCCTATGAGCTACACATTCATTTCTTTTGAAGGCTTCCCTTAGAGAAAACTAAGAGAAATTTTGCAATTCTTCCTAGGTAGATTAAATCTTATGATACTATCACAAAACAAAATAAAATACTTAATGATTAATAATGCGCAATTACTAGTTCTATGCAGTATCTTAACATGTTCAGATTCCTCTGTGTTTTTGTTAAGCTGAAACTCTCCTCTACTAGGAAATTCTTAAAACACACCTATCTATCCCATTCAGTGCTAATATTAAACAACTAGAAGAGACAAAGAAGCCATTCCAAATATTTTGTTTGCAAAATTCTCCTTGATAAAAGCAGCATTTTCCTTACAAGTAGAAACCACCAGCTATTAACAGACATAGTCATAGTCCTAAAAGTTTTCTACAATTTTATTTTGCACTCTTTTAGCAGAAAATATTAGGAAAGCAGCCTCCTTCACATGCCAAGAATGGCATAATGTATGAATCATTTTTACTCAATGCATAATCATTTTACCTCTGTAAAACCAAAGCCAAAAGGAATGCTACATTATGAAAACTTGCTGAACAGATTCAGACAAAAGACGAAACTGTGTTGAAAGCTGAGTTGAAAACACATGCTAAGCCAAGCACACTTCACTCTTCAAACACAACTTATTTGTCCCATTTTATCTTCTTCCATTGCTCTCCCTTACACTTGATATAAACAACAGCACTAGGTCATTACCAGCAAGACTTTGAGATGAAATACTCAGTGAGAGAGGCAACATCCTCTGCATTTCAGCCATTATTTCAGCCAACTACACTTCAGGGAAAAACAAACAAACACCAGTCCACCTCAAAACTGGTTTGACTAAATATTAAAACCTAAATGAAAGCAAAAAATTTCAGCAAGAGCCTGACTTGCTACAAACGAGATCAACCTTTAGACATTAAACATAAAAATTATTTTCATACCTGTTTAGAATTCAGAGCACTGCGACTTGGATCAGCAAGACCTTTACCACAATTTGACCATACTTCAAATTTAAAAGGTCTGATTTTTTTTCTTGTTTGGGATTTAACCTCCAAAGTGAACAGAAGAAAATAACACAGGAAAATTTTCAGGATTCCACACCCTACTTGCTAACCACCATCACTGACAGTCAGGAATATTTAATGGTGCACACACACAAACACACTTAAATCTCTGTAGTACAATAATGTCTAAAAAAACTTAAATATTACCCAAATTTATAGAGAACACAGATCCAGAAGTAAATGCCATACTTTTACTAATACCTATGCTAGGATGCATCAATAGATGGTTATAAATAGAAAAGACAACTTGCACCAGAGTAGAAAGTAAAACAAATA